ATTAACTACAGTGCTGATATAAAACATTCTCAGAGGTGGACAGATTATGGATTAAAATCCATTTGACATCGGGCTAACTACGGAAAGTTTCCGTGATTTCCCTTACCATGCAACTCAAATACTGGTTAATCCCATCAAAATGTTCTCCTTGAAAACTAGTTTGTAGCATTGCCTGATCCAGGAGTTAACTCGTTTCTTGGATTAGGTTCAAAATTACGGAGTTGAACATAGATAGACGTTAACTCAGAATTGGGTCGCGTCGTGTGACTAAACTGCAATAAGGAAAAAAAAAAAAAAAAAACGTGGATTTGACTGGTTTAGTAACCAGGTGCCTCAATTTACGAGCATATTTTTCAAAACCATTCACACAGAGAGATCATTAGTTCCGAAAGAACCATTACTTTTTCCCTCTCTAAATTAATGAATAGAATTTTCTGGGAAGAAAAAAANAAAAAAAAAAAAGGAAAAAAAAAAAAAAAAAAAAAAAAGAGTTTTTCTGAAGATTTATTTTATCCTTTACGTAGAAATTAAAAAAAAAGGATTAATTACCATATCATTAACTATACTAATAATAATTAATCATTGTTAGGCTATTGCAGCATTCTTGGAATATTTTTTTATTCCTTAAAACTACATTTGGATTCAAAATTTACTCTAATAAAAAAATATATTATTAATGTTTAAATAAGTACGTATAAACCGGTTTAAAAAATAATAAACCAGAAATATTTAATGCATTATTTATTTTATGAGTTACCAAAGAAGCTCCTTTTTCTTACTTAGAACTTATTTTTAACTTCCTTTCCCAATGAAGATTTTTCCTTTCTCTGGCGACAATGACAAATAATTTGTCTGTGAGACTATATCTAAAATTTTCATATTCTTAATCTATGACATTTATTTTACGCGGCGCATTTTAAGCTACAGAATTCCCGACGCATATTCATTATTTCATCAGAGCTCTCTCACGAACAATTTGTACGGAAATTCAAGCTTGATAAATGTCCATCATGAATACTTTAGACCAATTGAATTAGATCACCAGCAGATAGAAAAACGATAGAGAAAATTGGCTGCGTATGAATTATAATGGTATTTAATGTGATTGGATCATAAATTTAACAAATCACTTAAACTGGTCACAGAAAAGCCATTTTTCTACGTTATCAAAAATTATTGTATAACATATATTAATGTACATATTCATTTCAAGGGCAACAAAATGGGAAATAAATAAATATATATATATAGTTTTTAAAAAAATGACAAAAGAATGATTCTAAGTCTCTTTTTAAAAGAAAATTATAAAGCACAGTGTAAAATTATTTGCATGAAGAATGTAAAAAAACGAAATTTAGTATGTTTGTTATAGAAATGTAATGTAAGCGAAAGGAGCCACGAAAAAAGCTGAAAATAAATACTTCAGAAAAAAAGCAGTAAAATATTTTTTTTAATAATTATATCAATTTAATAACGTCAGGGTGTTGAGCTAGCATTTTAAGTAATTCTACTTTAAAAAATAATAATAATAATTTATGTATATTATACAAGGATTAATTTCACGTTTTCAAAAAGGAGCCTTCACTATTTTCTGTCTTCTATAATAAGAACATTAAATCTAACATATTAATTCCCAATAGCCTTTCAAAGAGATATTCTTGTGGTCAGCTAAAAAGATATAATAAAATTGATAAAATGTTTCATATTGAAGCAATTTTTTTTTAATCGCGCGTTCAATTGTTGAAACAATATTTTATCCGATTATTGCATCATAATGCAAAAACCGAGATCGCTAAAATTTAGTTACATATTAGAGCTTTTTTAGAGAACTAATCAATTGGGTCAACACACGAGAATCACGATGTCCAATAAGTGTTTTTATGGTCTAACTTAAGTTAAGCCTAATAAAAAGAAAAACAAAAGAGTTACTCTGTAAATGTCTTATACGATCAGTGCTTACATACGCATGCGAGACCTGGACAATGACCCGTGGAGATGAAAATATGATAGCTAGACTTGAGAGAAAAATACTGCGAAGCATTTTTGGTGTAATAAGTAAAAACGGTACCTGGTTTACAAGATCAAACACGGAACTTTACAAAGCATATAAAGAACTTGATGCCATTAAATTTATCAAAATTCAAAGGATTAAATGGGCAGGCCACATTATAAGAATGGAGGATAGCAGGACAACCAAAAAGTTTTTCAGTGCCAGGCCAACAGGTACCAGAAAAAGAGGACGGCCAAACCAAAGATTTCTAGACTGCCTTGAAAAGGACCTACAAGTTTTAAAGATAATAAACTGGAGAACCTTGGCTAAGAGAAGAATGGCGTGGCATAGGCGTGTTGAGAAGGCCAAGGCCCATCCTGAGCTGTCGTGCCAATGAGAAGAAGAAGAATCAATTAGCAAAAAAGACTGATATGTGAAAAGTACATTTCACACTTCAAATTAATTATGTTTTATAATTTTTTTCTAATTTTAAAGCTTTAACTATATATTAAATTCAGGCACAACTGCCTGGACCGAATTGATAATTAAATTCACAAAATTATTAATGAGGTACTTTTTTTAACACGAAAAGGGCAATCTGAAAGAAAAATATTGCAAGAATACAGGTTTAAAAATTGTCAGCAAAAATTTAGCTACTTTTGGCATTAACTTTTATAAAATATTTAAAATTAATAGTAAATTAGATTTAGAAAATATAATGCTTATATTTAAGAGAACTTTAACAAAGTTACACTTCAGTTAGCATACATTTCCAAAATGAACTTACCACAAATAACCAGGTATTTGCAGTGACGCCCTATAGGCGATATCTGGTCAGTTCGCTTTTCCAAAATCGTCACCTGTAAAAAAAGTTTACAAGATTTAAAAAAAGAAAAAACATATAATAAACATACACAAACAATTTCAGCACATGTCTTAAAATAAAATTTAAAATTTGCATTCATGGCATCTTAAAGAGGATTGACAGAGAAAATAAACAAGAAAATTACGTTGTAACACCGTCGAAAGTGAGTAGATAATGGTTCTCTGGATTCATTGAAGCAAGTACAATAACTACATCATTACCTATTTACATAACTTAAAGAATTAAAATAAGTCGTGAAATAGATTATTGGTTAGAATCGAGGTTGATGTTAGCTTAATAAAAAATGAAATAAAAAATCCTGATAACAAGAGGCAATAATATAATTTACGTTAAAATACATTAAAAATGAACTTTGTTTTATGAGCTTGATATACTTTAAAATGTAAACCTTTGCTTATTGACATATATTTAAAAAATAAAATGAATTCGAATTTATGAAACTGTTGAAAGTAAGAAAAAAAGCGATAAATTTTCTGAATATGAGAAAGTCGAGCTGTTGTTTAAATTTTTAAATAAATTCTTCCCCGTCTTAATTTTTCCAAAAAATTGAAAACCCGTTTAAATAGTATTGTATTGCTACTTTTAAATTTGAATTATAAATTCTCATTATATTATTGGAATACTGATTGAAAACATACGTTATAATGGTGATGTTTATACACATCTAAATAACAGTTAAGTGTAACTAACTGATCCAAGCTGGTGTAAGGGAGAAAATTTGATAACTTAGATCTGCGGGGGGGAGGGGAGGAAGTTGAAGAAAAAGGAAAAAATTTAATTGAAAATATTGAAAATTATGAATCTAACACGTCCTATTAGAGGTCAGGCTGACACAGCCACTGAAATAAAAAGTTATAGCTTTTGCACGTACAGTGGAAGTACAGTTCTAAAATAAGGGTCTACTGAAGATTCTGCAAAAATAAAGTTTTGCTTTTATTTTTATACTTCCAAGCAAAAGCCTACATAATTTTCGAATCTGACTAATGAAATTGTTTTTTTCAAACTTACCATGCTAGGCAAGGAAACTCCTAGAAAGTTACAACGATACATAACATGAAACAAAAAATGTGTTAAAAACAAGAAATGATTTAATTGTGAAATTTTCTTTTAAAAGTTTGAATTCTGGGCTTTAGATGTTGCTTATTTTTATGATTTGGGATCAAAAGCTCAACTATTTTTTTTTTGTCACAGATCGAACATAAATTAAAAACTTTTTTTCATATATTGATGTAAACTTCAGAATTTAATATATTAACTTGAGCTTTACTTTGGTACCTAATAAAATTAGTATATTAAGTTTTAATATAGTACTTTTAAATATAAGTGGCATTTTAAATATATAAGGGTTGCAAAAATGAAAAGTGAACAAGTTGAATGAAAAGAGCATCTTCATTGGAAATCAAAAGAAATCGCCATGGGCGTTGAACACGGGTCCCATCGTGTAGGTAGCAGTTTTATGCTTAGTTGTAGAAAGATTGTGGTCGATTTTGTAGGAAGTCTTGCACATTTCTTTTCGCTTCATCATTCCAATGGGAACATATACCTGCAATGCTTTCATAAGTGGCCGAAAAATGTGACAAACACATGGTGACAAATCTGAACTGTACGGCGGGTGTTGCTACACTTTCCAACGGAAATTTGTTAAAATCGTCTGGATTTCACGAGAGGTGTTAGTGGGCATTCTCATGGAGGAGGATCACTTGCTGTATGAGAAGGTTGTTCGCTTTTTATTGCGTAACGTAGTTCACCAGAGTACCGCAGTATTGTGTTAAATTTATTGAGATCCCTTGGGGAGGGAAATCAGTTGTTTGTCCGATCTGGACGCATCCATGTATAACGTGACTTTACTTTCGAACAATATTCTTTATCACGAACAGCATTCACTGTTGGACCAACACCTCCTAGAATAGAGTAGGCCTCTGCACGGGTTACCATAAATATCCTTTAGTAGTCCAAACGTAATGACATATTTCGTATTTTCAACCATTGCGCAGCTTAGTACCCCGAACGTAATGACATCTTTCTTCTTTTTCATTAACTGCGCAGTTAATTTCGACACATCGGACTACTAAATTGATCCGTGCTGAGGCCTTCCTTCTTCTAGGAGGTGTTGGTTGGACACTGTACGCAGTGTACATCCTCCTACCGTCCTTTATTCCCCTGTTCAGTCACGTTGTTATAGCTGCAGTCATTCTGACACAATCGCACTCTTCAACATTTCATTTGGGCAGCCATTATAATAACTAATTTTAAATATAACTTAAATCTTAAGGTACATACCAGATTTTTTCGAATATTTAACTTTACGATTTAGTTTCTTCAACCGAGAAATACGGAATATAGTTTTAATATCTTTCTTTTTTCTTAGCATTAAAGGTACATCAAGCTTATAAGTTTCCCATTAACTTTGAATTAAACTAACTCGACATAACTTTTGTATGCTTTCATAATCTAAGGAAAGATATTTAACGAATGGAATCAACGAAGCGATTACGAACTAGATAAGTCATTTCAAGAGTCCTCCCAAATGCTTGGAAACTTCCATCAGAAAGAAAAATAAGCCGAAATCCTCGGCCAAACATCAAAGAATGCATTATCCACAATAGAGCCCACTTCATTTCACTTTTCCTACCGACAGTGATGTTTGCTAACCTATTCATTGCGAAATCCAAAAAACGTCGATTCTTTTTCTAGCCAACAAGGAAACTTGGCTTGCATTGAATGATGCTTTGAATTTATATTCTTAACACTTCTCCACTTTGTTCCGATCAATTTCCAGCAACGTAAGCATCGTTCCTGAAACTCACAGAAGCCAATTTCTCCTGTATTTCAATATAAGCATACTTCAAGAAAAAGGTATTTACTCCAGTTTTGTTTGAAAAGATTGAGGAAGATTAGATGCAAAGGAAGTTGCCTGTTACCTAGACTTTTTTTTCTGTTGTAAAGGTTGAAAGTTAACTCGTGATATTTTTAATTTTTTTTTTTTTTTTACAAAAGGTTTCATTGAAATTTACACTGAACTTTAAGTTATTGTTAAAAAAAACGCCTCGTACTAACTTTTGTGTAACTAAAAATATTACAAGTCTTTTTTTATTGTATAAATGCTTTCTTAGCATAAAGTATGTGAAGAAAAATAATGCATTACGACTTGGTTAAAGAGATGTGCGTCGTCTAAATGTCAGTTTTATATACAAAAAAAATAGCTGATTTCTTTTACAGACAAGTATTTTTGAGCAATTTTCTTGCAATATTATTCATATACAATACACTAAAATAACCAGCAAGTCCTTCAAAATTGGTGATAATTCAGAGATTTTTTGAAACAATTTAATACAAATGTGTATAATCAAAGAAAAATAAGAAAAATAATAAAAAAACAAGTTTGAACTTTCGAACATGTAACGTCTTTTTCTGAACACTTTTTAATGCTGATAAATAATTTTGTTGTTTATATATATAGTAATTTCACAGCTGATATAGCGATTACTATATCGTTAATTGCAGCAATATTTCAAGGATGTTTATTTATAGATGAAATAAAGTTTTAATAGCAATGCCTAAAATCTAATCGGGTATAACTGTATTCATAAAAAATTTATTCCAGGTACCAACCACCACAATGCTTACTTTGAATCGAAAATTTAAGTCATCTTCCATAACTAAATCAAAACTGAAGAAAAACGTAATCAAACGTAAATTAACTTATTTGATTATATGGAATTTTACAAGATTAAAGTAAACTTATGCATTAATTACAATAGTAAAGCGTGCATATATGCAAGATGTATAACATATATACAAAATTCAGATGGGCGAAGCCATGACAGTCTCAATTGTTCCCTTAGCATAAAATACTTTTTTAAAATTAAGTTTGTAACTATTAGTATTTTCTTGAGTCATTATTATTATTTTTTATGAAAACTTAAACATAAGACTGGTGACATAGGACTGTACTTGGAATAAAACTTGAAATTGAAACTCAAACAGGAAATTAATTATAAGTATACAAAAATATTTTTTAAGTATTGGGAAAGCGACATATGTGACCAAAATATTGTGCTCTTTACCAGAAAATATGCAATGTGACTGGGGTAAATTATGCAATTTTTGTGATATAGTTCATCCACAGTAAGATGATGTATGATTTACATTCAGATAGTTAATTTCGACACGGAGATGTCACTATACTGAGGAACCGTTATAGTCGCGTTTTTTCCCCCTCCTACTACCGATGATTGTTAAACGTTTCTACGCAACCCCTATTTTAACAAAACGGTCTCCAATGCCTTCTTACGGTGAAAGGGTTACAATTACAGAGAGAATTTGAATAGCATGCTTTAATTTAATCATTTTTCTAACATTAGTCCCTTTAAGATTTTACGGTTTTTCGGCAAATTCTAGCGAATGCGCTGTAAAGGTGAACTAGTGTTAGTGTATAAGTTACGCGGAATTGTGACGCTTTGCAAATCTCGCTGACATTGATTTGGAGATTTTACGATTTTTCGGCAATTCTAGCGGATGCGCTGTAAAGGTGAACTACTGTTAGTGTATGAGTTACGCGGAATTGTGACGCTTTGCAAAATCTCGCTGACATTGATATGAAACGTTTACTTTAGATGAAATTATTTAGAGTGAGAACATTAAGAACAAATGTATGGGACCATAGTCTATTTTTTTCTTTTAACTGCAAATAGCTTTTCCATAAACCATGGGAAAAAATTTAGCCAATGAAATGTTTTATGGGTAGCTTAATTTAATTCTTCTTAATGCGTTTATTTTATCCATTTCTTTCTTTTTTTTTCAACCATCTAACAATTCTCAAGCTTTCTCTACCCGTGCACTTTACTTACCGCTTCCAATGAATGCGGATTTTATTATTACGGATCACAATAAATCTAAAGTGATTTTTTTTCTTCATTTTTTCCCATCACACTTTCTTAGAAAATATTCGATGAACATTCTAGAAAACTAAAA